TACATAGGCTTAGTCCCATCAGATTGGAATTCCAGCTCTAGGATTGTCTTAGAGGTTTGCTGTTATTGCTGCTGACATAAACCAGAGGTAATGCGCATGAAGAAAAGACACAAAGAACAGAGGCCCTTAGGTACCACCTGCCAAATAAGTCAATTTCAAAGTTTTCTGCTCCAATTTTTAAGTTCACTTAATAACTGACGTCAAGAATTTTCAAACTCCTTCTCTGGAATCCAAGCTGTATTTAAATTCAGACTCTAACTTAAACAAATTCCCTGAGATTCAGTGATTAGGATCAGGAGGATATTGTACAAACAGAGCAGAGGACACTGCATAGTTTAGAATTAGGAAAGGAATGTGTCAGGGTTGTAGTTTCTCTCCATACCTATTCAATCTGTATGTGAGTAAATTATTCGAGAGGCTGGACTCTATAAAGAGGAATGTGACATCAGAAGACTCATCAATAGCCCACATTATGGAGATGACACAACCTTGCTTGTTGACTGTGAGAAGGACTTGAAGCACCTGTTACAGAAGATTAAAGAATACAGCCTTAAATATGGATTGTATCTCAATGTCAAGAAGACAAAGACTCTTACCACTAGACTGACTGGCAACCTCGTGATGAATGGAGAGGAGACTGAAACTGTCAACAACTTTATCTTGCTTGGATCCACAATTAAACCCCCTGATACCAGCAGTCAGGAAATTGGGAGACATATTGCACTGAGAAAGACTTCAGGGGCCTCTCCAAATTGCTGAGAAGTAATGATGACAGTTTAAGGATTAATATTCAGGCCATAGTCTTTCCAATCACTTGCTATGCATCTGGGGACTGAATATAAATGACAGAAGAATTCATGCCTTTGAGCTGTGGTGTTGGAGAAAAGCATTGAACAACCCATGGACAGCCAAAAGAACAAGCAAATACGTCTTACGGTGAAACCAGAGTGCTGTTTGGAGACCAGGATGATGAGGCTCCGTCTCACATACTTCAGGCATATTACTAGGAGGGGCTATTCCTTGGAGAAGGACATGATGCTTGGATGGGTGGAGGGTTGACGAAGAAGAGGAAGACCCTCGACAAGGTGGATTGACACAGTGACTGCTGCAATGGGCTCTAATGTGTCAGGAAGTGTTAAGATGACACAGGATAGGACAGGGTTCAGATCTGTTGTTCACTGGGTCTCTATGAGTCATACTCAACTTGACAGCGCCTAACAACAACAACATGCTTTAGTGAGGTTGGTTTTCCATTAAAATGAAATTAACAAGATCTACCTCAAAGAGTGCTTATATGGATTAAATGACAACAAAAGCAAAGGTTTTATGAAAGGACTATAGCATTTGTTTGTTATTGTTGTTGGTGATTGCTATCAGTCAAGTATGACTCATAGTGACCCTATGAACAAAAGGCCTGAAGCCTATTTACAACTACTGTCATTTATCAAAGTTTATCGAGCTTCCAGAGGCATGTTTTTTAGGCAGTAGATGCCACTCCAGTGTTCAATTAATTAACTATCAGAGGCATAATCTTCATCACCATTATCATCATGATTATTACTGTTGTTGTTAGGTGTGAACCAGATGGCTTCACCTCATGGAGACTCTGCGAACCCCACACTAGCCTCAGAATACCTGCTATGCTTAAGCCCCCGGTGGTGTCATTGTTTCAATCTCTCTCTCTTCCCCTCCTTTGCTGACTCTCTACTTTCCCAAGCAAGATGCTTGGTTTTGAGTTTGATGTTTAATACTGGTAATCATGTCAACCTTGAGAAACTGGGTGGAGCAGTTGGCTAAGTTTTCATTCTCTTATAAAAATTTACAGCCGCAGAAACCTTACAAGTCACTTCTACTCAGTCAAGTTGTTCTAGGGAATTAAGAGAGTTGGAGGAAAAATCAAAAGAACCTGCTTACACACTCTTACACATTCTCACAGTCTAGCTCACACTCACCTCATTAAGCACTAGTTAAAATATTAATAAATTCATGACGAACTGATAAAGCCTGTTACTAAGTGAATACTGTCTTAACATCTAAGGGGTCCTGTCTTAGAAACCCAGAACTATGGCATTCTTAAGAACATAAACAAGACCAGATGAGATTCTCCAGCATGCTCAGCAAGGAATGACCTAACAGAACAGTAATCTAAAAGGGGATTTAAAGGAAGGAAAAGGACTTGAAACAGAGCCCAGTGTGATACACACGCATGCCAACATCCCATAGTGAGTCTTGCTCTCACCTCCCAGACTCCCTTGCACTAGAATCCATCTTCAAGTTGTGTGGATTCACAGAAGAGGAAGAAAAGCCGAAGCTGGACGAAGCCTTCACACACACCGCCTGCGGATCCTGCCTCCCCTTCCCTCCCCCAGAACCGCTGCTGCTCCGTCAGAACCAAGCGGACCCTCCAGTGAGTTTTCAGAGGCTATAAACTGCACAGAAGGATTGTCTCCTTTTTTTCTCCATTGCAGCTGGTGGATTCGAACTGCCTTGGACTTAGCAGTGCAACTCCAAGGACTAAGACACCGGAGCGCCTTACATCTCCTTTACTACTGAAAAGCACCTTTCCCCTAAGAAACGACCTTGGAAAAGCTCTGCGCTCTGGTTTTTCAGAGAGACCCACTTCCTTTCCTCCCAGCCCTTTCATCTTCTTCCCCTGCACAGTTTTGCTATATGCAGAACAGATTACCCGGGAGGCTGGGCTCTATGAGGAGAAATGTGGGGTCAAGATTGGTGGATGATTTATCAACAATGTGCGTTATGCAGATGACACAACCCTGCTTGCTGAAACTGAAGAGGACCTGAAGCACCTGCTGCAGAGTGTCAAGGACTGCAGCCTACAATATGGATTGAGGCTCAATGTCAAGAAGACAAAGATTCTCACCACTGGACCAATTGGCAGCATCAGGATGGATGGTGAAGAGATTGAGATTGTACACAACTTTAGTTTGCTTGGCTCTGTAGTCAACAGTCTTGGCACCAGCAGCCAGGAAATTAAAAGGCGCATTGCCATGGGAAAGTCTGCTGTTAGGGACCTCTCCAAAGTGCTGAAGAGCAATGGTCTCTCTGGAGACTAAGGTGCGTCTGATACAGGCCATGGTCTTTACAATCACTTGTTATGCTTCAGAGAGTTGGACAATGACCAGGGAGGATAGAAGGAGAATTGATGCCTTTGAGCTGTGGTGCTGGAGAAGAGTATTGAGAATATCATGGACTGCTAGGAAAACAAACAGATTTGTCCTGGAAAGGGTTAAACTGGGTGGCTCCTTGGAGGCAAGGATTCTAAGGCTCCGTCTAACATACTTTGGACATGTTGTAAGGAGAGACCGGTCCTTAGAGAGGGACATCATGCTTGAGAGGGTGGAGGGACGGCGCAGGAGAGGAAGGCCCTCTATGAGGTGGATTGATTCAGTGACTAGGATAATTGGGATGGGAGTGTCGGAGACAGTGTGATTGGCACAGGACAGAGCGGAGTTTAGGGCTGTTGTACATAGGGTCGCTATGAGTCGCAGGCGACTCGACGGCACATAACAACAACAACAACAACAACAACTAATTAACCTATACCTTTCCTTCTGCATGACTAACTTTCTGGTCATTACTTAGAGCTGGAATCAGCTCACAGGCAGTGGAGGGCCTTGGTAATCAATCGCTTGAATACATGAATAATCTTACTATTGGTGCACGTTCATTAGCACAGATTTCAAAAACTCATTTTAAAACAACTGATAGTGTTTCTCTGATTTGTTATTTGGCAAGGAGAAGTAACTTGAAACGTACAACAAATTCCCTGTTAGCATTTAGGGTGTGTTCATAAAAATGTTAGTATATCCTTGTGGTCATTTTGTAGTATCTGTCATTTTGTGGTGTAAGTCAACAGCAAAATATTTCAAACTGCAGTATTGGATTCTGTAAAGACACATTCTCTAGAAACATCCATTTAGCTGAACTATTCTAGTTAACTCACCCAGTGAGTAAGGAGCTGCATGACCAAACCAAAGACAAGCGGTTCAAATCCGCCAGCAGCTCTGTGGGTGGAAGGACAATCTCCTCCTATGTGATCTACTGGTGTTATTGCTGTTGTTTGCCTTTGAGTCAAGCACGACTCATAGCGACCTTACGAACAAAAGGACTGAAGCTTTTCTAGAACTATCGACATTTAGCAAAGTTCATAGAGTTTCTGGAGGCATGTTGTTTAGGGATTCAATAACTAACTACCTCTGGAAGCTCACAGAAGGATCAGCTCCGAGTCAGTTCCTACTTGAAAGCAATGAACCACCACCATCCTATAGTACAGGTACAAAGACTGCTCACCTGACATGTGACAGGTCTGTAAAACTTCCGTGGCTCCATTTAGCCCTCCCACAAAATCCAAGTAAGTCTGCAAACCACATGAAAATGTGATTTGGCCTTTAGTGAAAGAAGACTGAGAAACCATTTTCAGTTCTCATTTCATTCTAAACAATCTCCTTCAACTATTCTCTCAGGCTCACCTCCTCCTATACCCTGTATATGGTCTACTTCCGCTGCTCTAAATTTCTTGCCCCTTTCCCAAAGTTGAGATTCTTACACATCTTTGGGACTTAACCTAAGTGTTACTGTTTTTATTAAGCTGCTATTTGATAGATTGGAGAAGGAGAGGAGGAGGAGGTTAACTAAAAGTTCTACAATTTCCCAAGTTCCTCTCTTCTCGTTCCTATCATTTCTGGTGCACAGCTCCATGAAATAATTGACATATTTTGGTGTGACTACTGCATACCATACAGCTCCTTCCTTGTCTGAAAGAACTTGAAGATTGTTTAGATATTACTTTGTATTTCTATCTTCTTAGCAAAGTATTCAGGAAAATTAATGAACAAATGCATAATCCATGCTACAGTATTCAAGTAGAAACAACAAGTATATTTATCTAGCTAAAAGATTATAAAAACAGAAAACACCTTGACTATCTACACGCTAAAATCAGAGAGGTCTTGAAAAGCTTTATTAGTTTCCAAACTTACCTGAACAGGTCATCTTCAACACTTCAGCTGGAATATTTAAAATATCTGCAAAATAATCCTTGAGATACATAAACCTGTAGTCTGCTCTAAGAGACACTAAAATTTCCTGGGCCACAGGCATAAGTACAATTTTGACTGTAGATAAAAAGAAAAAAAAGAAAGAATAAAAGTCAAGTCAAACATCAGGCCAACCATCCACAGCCCTTAGAGCAGACACAGTATAAACAGCAATGTAAATCAAAAGGAAGATCTCTTAGTCAAGAAAAACAGAGTCCACAGAGTAGAGAAGCTTTCACACATACTAAAGGAAGTCAAGTGGATGGATGGATAGATAGATAGATAGATAGATAGATAGATAGATAGATAGATAGAAAAGGAAAGTAATATAAAATCTAAACCAATAACTTTTCAGGCAAACAAACAGGATAAAAGCAATCAGCCACAAAATGCAGAAGTGAAATCTCTCACCCTCCCTAGGTGGTACCTGTTGTTTCCAAATCTTCCGAGGCTATCTTTAAAGTCTCCTTCATCATCCTTATTTCATCCTGAAATGCCGGCTTATCATCTGGATGCAGAGGGGGTGACTGCCCTGCAATGTCAGGTGCGGTTAAAGACTGGCTGTGATCATTTACTGGCACCGGGCTAGGCTCCACCTCTTCGTCTCCGAGTACATTTTCATCATTTTTTGGTAGCCTTCTATAGCTCTCCTGAAGCTCCACATGTATTCCGTAGCTGTCAGTCGATACCTCTGGTTCAGACTCTGGCTCCCCTCCATTGACATCTGAATCTAGAAGATCTTCTGTGGACACTGGAATGCTGATAGGCTCAAGGGCATCACTGCTTTTCTCCGACACGTCAGTTATATTCTCAGTATCAATGTTTTCCTTCTGATCCGACATCTTCCTGAACCGAGAGGGGGAACAACCTGAACATATTTACTACATACTTTCAGGGAATATTGCAGTAACGTACAGTGGTAATAGTGACATAAACCAGGAAGACAGGCGAGGACATTGTGAGAAGAAACCAGAGTTAGGGTGTATTTGGAATAGAGTGGTATAAACTTCCAAAATAGCTTGCCTCTGGAAACTCTATGAACTTGGAGAAACGATGAAAGTTATACAATTATTCAGCTCTTTCGTTCATAGGGTCGCTATGAGTCGTCTATGACTTGACAGCACTTAACAACAACAGAGCTAAAAGGATTTGCCAAGACATTTTCTTTTTGAATTTGAAGGATATGAGTGTGTGTGTGTGTGTGTGTGTGTGTGTGTGTGTGTGTGTGTGTGTTAGAGAGAGAGATCTAAAAAGAGGAACCAGGTTTCTCACCAATATTTTTAGCTTGAGTCTAAACACTGCAAGAAAGCAGGTGTGAGGTGGAAGCGACAATGTTATTGCACAGCATGATCTTTTATTTAATACATAATTAACATGTTTCTACATAAAACCTGGGATTCTGCCTCATTTCTTACAACACTCCACTAAAGCCCATTGCTGTCAAATCCGCTCTGATCCGGAGCAACCCTGTAAAGTAGAGTCGAACTGATCGTAGGGTTTTCAAGGCTGCAAATCTTTACAGGAAGAAACTGCCTCATCATTCTCCCACTATAGGTCCGGTGGATTCAAACCACCAACCTTTCCATTAGCAATCCAATGTTTAATCCATGCTGCCACCAGGAGTCCTTAATAATTTCCTTTCAGAGCCAAGACAATAATAATCAATTCATACTCTGGTGGCCTAGTAGTAAGAAGCTGTGCTGCAATCCCAAAGACATGTAGTTCGAATCCACCAGCTGCTCTGCAATAGAAGGATGGATGATCTCCTCCCTTATGATTTACTGTCTCTGAAAACCCACCAGCAGGTCAGCTATGGGTTGGTTCCAATTCAACGACAATCAATAACAACACTGCCCTACCATCAGGGAACTCTAATGGCAAAGTCCTTAGGGAGTTGTGCTATTAACACAAAGACCCACCTCTCTGTGTTTTGGAATCCAGTAAATGCTCCTTATGAGAAATAAAAACAGGCAGTCTCCTCTCGTGTGACTTACTACTGCCTAAGAAATACAGTGCAGGTCAATCATGAATTAAAATAAACTCAAACACAACGAGAGAGAGAGAGAGAAATATCACCCTATTGATGACCATTTAAGCTCAGCTTCTTGGTGTCTTGGTGATAAAGATATTGTTGCAACAAACACCTTGTGTATATATTGATACATTGTTCTTGTTGTAGATTGCCTTTGAATCCAGCAGATTCATAGTGACTCCATGAACAAAAGAGGCCTGATGCCCCTCTACAACTATCGACATTTATCAAAGTTCATAGAGTTACAAAGGCATGTAAACATAAATTCTCAGAATCTGAGCAGGACACGTGGATTTGAATAGTCAAATTACATCAAACTGTCTTTCAAAAAAGCAGCACCATATTAAAGCCCCAGGAAAAGTTTCTTACCAATTCCTTCCTCCCTATCTTGTTCTGAGGGAACTCGCATGGTCTAGTGGTAAACTGCACTGCCAACCCCAGAACATGCAGTTGGAATCCACCAGTTGGTCCTTGGAATAAAGATGGGCACGCTTCTCCTGTGCAACTTACTACCTCTGAAAATCCACTGGATTGTCAGCTTTCAGTCAGTTCTGACTTGATGGAAGATAATGACAGCATAGCTTGTTTTATGAGATTTAGTCATAAATTAGGGAGCTCTGGTGGTTAAGTGGTAAGGAATTGCTCTGCCAACCGAGTTCAAATTCACCAGCCCCTCCATGGGAGAAAATGGACAATCTTTTCTCTTGGGATTTACAGCCTCCAAAAGCCCACTGGAGGGTCAGCTATGGTTGGTTCTAACTCAACAGTACACAACATCAATAAATTACTTTTGTTGTGTGTGCAAGCATATTTACCATTATATGTTTTAGCATTATATTGTCTTTTGCTTTGTATTTCTTTAAAAATTAAAAAAAAAACCCTTCATTTCTTTATATATATAGGGAGCCTTGGTGGTCTAGTGGCAAGAAGCTGTGCTACAATCGTGAAGGCAAGTGGTTCAAATCCACCAGATTCTTCACGGGAGAAGAATAGGAAATCTCCTCCTCTAAGTTTAACTGCCTCTGAAAACCCACTAGAGGGTCAGTTATGAGTTAGTTCAGACTGGATGGTAAAATACACACACATATATACATATATATACACACATATATATAATATATACATATATACATACATATATATACATACATATATACATATATATAATATACACACACACACACATACATATATACATTTTGGTGATGTTGCAAGGAGGGACCAGTCCCTGCAGTGGGACATCATGCTTTGAAAGGTGGAGGACAGTGAAAGAGTGGGAGACCCTTAACCAGGTAAATTGCTACCGTGACTTCAGCATTGAGCCCAAGCATTTCAGAGATGATGACGGCACAGGATAGGACAGGGTTCAGATCTGTTAATCCCAGGGTCCTGTTCCACTTGAGGGCACCTAACAACAAAGTCAGATCTGGCATACTCATACCTGTGCTCTCCTGTACTATTCGCCCACAAACACTGGGTGGGGACCGATTCCGTTTCAGAGCCTTCAAATCTAAGAGACAGAACCAGCAATTGAGCTAAGAGAGATCTTTTCAGTTTTTTAAGAGAAGGTGGACAACAACCTCAGGTCAGGAACTAGAGGTCAGTGTCCGCACAGCGTCCTCAAGCCCGAGGACTGGAGAGAGAGCAGTCTTCTCCTCTTACCTGACTAAGCAACAACCGCAGCTACTACCCCTCCAAGTGGTTTCTGCAGGGCCTTGGAAGCCGTGGCTGTTCTCAGAGTTGTTGTCAGCTGTCTCCTAGCAACAGGCTTGGGCACCTCCCACTCCTGCCAGGGCTCCGCCCCCGAGGAGGCGGGGACAGCGCTGGTAAGGGTGGCCACGTGGGAGAGGGAGAGGCTGGGGTTAGGACTGGTGGAAGGTGGTGCTTCTTGTTGTTGTTGTTATGTGCCATCAAGTCGCCTGTGACTCACAGTGGCCCTATGTACATCAGCCCTAAACCCTGCTCTATCCTGTGCCAATCTCACTGTCTCTGACATACCCACCCCCATTACCCCAATCACTGAATCAATCCATCTCATAGAGGGTCTTCCTCTCCTGCACTGTCCCTCCACCCTCCCAAGCAAGACATCCCTCTCCAAAGACGGGTCCCTGCTTGCAACATGTCCAAATTATATCAGATGAAGCCTCAGAATCCCTGCCTCCAAGGAGCAGCCCGGTTTAACCCTCTCCAGGATGAATCTGTTTGTTCTCTTAGCAGTCCATGGTATAGTCAACACTCTTCTCCAGCACCGCAGCTCAAAGGCATGGGGGGGGTGTGAACATCAAGGGCGGGTACTGTAAGGAGGCGTGGATTTGTGGGTGTGACCAATGAGTGCTAGGGGCGGGGGGGAAAAGCCCAATGACAGAAGGCGCAAAGCCACAGGGTGTTCTTAGATGCCCAGAGTCTTTAAACAACAGATCTGAACCTTGCTGTATCCTGCACCATCCTCATCATCTCTGATATGCACGAGTCAGTAGTTCTAGTCAGTGTGTAGTCCCATCCCGTTGAGGGGCTTCCTGTCTTTCTCTGACCCTCTACTAATCCAAGCATGATGTGCTTTTTCAAAGATTGAGCCTTCCTGAAAACAGACCCAAAAGTATATGAAGCTGTTTCCCCCTCCTTGCTTCTGAGGAGCACCTCAATTACACTTCCTCCAGGGTATATTCGTTCTTTTGGCAGCCCACGGGCTATTCAGTACTCTTCAGCACCACAATTTAAAAGCATAAATTCTTCTATTAATTTTTTTTTCCAACTTTCAGGTTCATAGGAAGCAAATTAAAAGTTCATGGCTTAGAGCTAGTGTACTTTAGTCTTTAAAATGACAGTCTTGCTTTTTCGGACATTGAAGATTTCCCCAGTGTACCATGTCTTTTTCTTTCTTGACTGGTGATATCAAGACTGCTGATTGTTTATCTGTTGTTGTTGTTGTTGTTGTTGTTTGATGCCGTAGAGTCATAGACGACTCATAGCGACCCTATGAACGAACAGCCTGAGCACTGTTCGTACATAAGAGTTTCCGGAGGCAATCCATTTCAGAAGTGGATGCTGCTCCTGCTTCCAGGCTTG